TGAGGCAGTAGGTGTGACTTAGGTTTGTTACAGGGAGGTGTTAGGCTGGGCTTGGGGGGCACACATGGTACATAGGGGTGAGGGTGCCTTCAGGGTGGATCAGCAGGCACATGGGCATGGGCTTCTGCCACCTGCCCCTTTCTTAACTCCTTCCTGCCCTCTCCACCACAGGCATGGGCATGGAAGGAGAACTTCTTGGAGGTGGGGACCCTGGAACGCTATACAGTGGAGAGGACCAACTCAGGCAGTGGGGTGCTATCCACGCTCACCATCAACAATGTCATGGAGGCTGACTTTCAGACCCACTACAACTGCACTGCCTGGAACAGCTTCGGGCCGGGCACAGCCATCATCCAGCTGGAAGAGCGAGGTGACTGGCAGTGCTGCCTGCCAGCTGGGGTGCAGGGCAGCCTGAGGATTCTGCTCCCTCTTTTCTCCTGGGGCAGGGCTCAGCTGCTCCCCTTCCCTTGAGCTCTGCTCTGAGGGAGGGAACACACAAGGGGATGTCCCGACTGGGAGGTCAGGAGTGAATGGGTTTGGGGCTGCTCCCCTCTGGTTCCTGCCTATTGTAAGAGTCTGTGCATCAGTTTCCAGAGGGATCTTAACTCCAGAGGGAAAAGAACTGTTTTGGGCCTCCCCACCAGAACCTGGCCTCCATGCTCAACTGAGGAAATTCCCTCACTTTATTAAAGTTTACTGAGCATTTGCTATGTGCTAGGCTCTGCCCTAGGGGCTGCAGGAAGTGCTGTGAACAAGACACAGTCCCTGACCTCAAGAAACTTTCAGTGTAGTGGAAGGACTTACAGAGTGGTAGCAAATGAATTCAAATGGAGAAGAATCAAATGAACTGCAAACGGGAATAACACTGCCTATCTCACTGTCCTGTGAGGATTAAATGAGAGAATATTTACAAAATACCAGGCATATAATAGGTGTTCAGTAAGTATGGGCCCCCTTACCTCTTCAAGAATTGTTACTCTGCTAGCAGAGAAGTGTTCTCTCCTTTAAGGCATTTCTCGCATGATAAAAGAGGTATTCCTTTGACTTTTGGAAGCTCCCACGTCCGAGGAGGAAAATATAGCATTTTTCATTTTATTTTTTGAGAACTAACCATTTGACATAGGAGATGGGGAACCCCATGGAAAACGACAGCATCCCATCAGTTCAGTCTTAACGGAGCATGCCAGCAGGGGGTTGGGGTGGAGAAGAATGGAGTAGATACAGTAATGTGAGGCTCCACAGGGAAGGATCTCAGAGGGGAGGAGCTCTAAGCAGGATCTGGATTCAACCAGGGCTGCTAGGAAGAGAGAGAAGGCTGGAGGCAGGATTCCTGAGTTCCTCCTCGGCTCTGGGAAGCAGAGGAAACCAGGAAAAACTCTTAGAGCCCTGAGTAGATAGGTGCAAATGGGGCAGTCACGTGGTATTATGGATGAGAAGCTGGTCAAAGATGTCAGAACACAGGTGGCAGACTGGAGAGTTTGGAGACAGCTGACCTCCAACAAGAGCAAGGAGCCAAGCCCCAGGCTTGTGGGCTGAAGGACAGGGATAGACAGACAACCAAGGCCAGGGCACACTCCTGCCCCAGCTGCAGGGATGAGACCTGACCATGATCTCCACTCTGATGGAACTGGAGCACAGACAAAATCCAACCACAATGACCTTCCTCTCAAATCCAACCCTGACTTAAAACTAACACGTCCGCAGACTCAGTCAAAACTTGGCCCTGTACACAAGCCAGGGTGGCCTCTGTAGCTGTGGCCTAGCCTTCAGCCAGCACTGAGCTTAGCTCCCAGTACAACTCCAGCCTCACCCCTCCACCTTTCCTTCCCCATCGAAAGAGGTGTTACCTGTGGGCATCATAGCTGGAGCCACCATCGGCGCAGGCATCCTGCTCATCTTCTTCTTCATCGCCTTGGTATTCTTCCTCTACCGGCGCCGCAAAGGCAGTGAGTATGGGCCCTGTGCAGCCCACAGCCTCCCCAGCCCTTCTGGGGCCACGACAGGCAGTGCTCGGCATGGATGGGGGGTTGGCTGTTGAGCTCCAGCCCAGAGGGAGCCAGAAGCAGCCACTGCAGAGGCCAGCAGGAAGCACTTGATCCAGGCCGCCTCTCCCATCCCAGGTCGCAAGGACGTGACCCTGAGGAAGCTGGATATCAAGGTGGAGACAGTGAACCGAGAGCCACTCACAATGCATTCTGACCGGGAGGATGACACCGCCAGCGTCTCTACAGCGACCCGGGTCATGAAGGCCATCTACTCGGTGAGGGTCCTGCTCCTCCCTGGCCTCCTGCCCTCTCCTCTGTCAGAGGACCAGCTCCATCCCAGCTCTAATATCCACTGTCATTCTCTCCTTCCTCTGTTGGCCTTCCGTGGTCCTGCCACACACACTCTCCCACATTCACACACATACTGTCTCACACACACCCCCAGGTTAGTTTCCTCCAGCAGAGGATAGGCAGGTGGGGTTCTCCAAAGGCTTCCTTTGCCCCATCTTTTCCCCCACAGACTGTGAAAGCTGGAAACCCCCAGAGGCTTTCTGGTCCATCTGCCTCATTGTTGAGATGAGGAATCAGCCCTGGAGAGGGGCAGTGACGTTTACAAGGTCACATTACATGTTAGCAACAACACTAGTGCTTGAACCCAGGTCTCTGGCCTCTTCTGCCACATCCCAGAGCCTCTGCTCAGAGAACCCAGAGCTCAAGTCTGCCTTTGCCTTCAGACCCCTCCCGTGAGCAGGTGGCCTCTGAGTGTGGGGAGGGGTTGGTGAGAGGCAGGAAGGGCAGGGCTTCCGCCTGCTGATGCCCCACTCCTGCTGCTCCGCAGTCTTTTAAGGATGACGTGGATCTGAAGCAGGACCTGCGCTGCGACACCATTGACACCCGGGAGGAGTATGAGATGAAGGTGCGGAAAGGGGAAGGGCCAGGGCACCAGGGCCGGTGGGACAGTGGGTCTCCGAGGGCCCGCAGCGGGGAAGCGAGGACAGACTTGGGGAGGAGTGGTTGGGAGGGTTTTTGAAGGAGCAGAGGAGGTGGAATACTAGATGGGGACATGGGGAGAGCTGGAGGAGGAGGCCCAGAAGGCCATGGTGAGACTTGATCACCACCCAAGAGGGCACACCGCCTCCATCCTCTTCTCTCATTGCCCCCAGGACCCCACCAATGGCTACTACAACGTGCGTGCCCACGAAGACCGCCCATCTTCCAGGGCAGTGCTCTATGCTGACTATCGTGCCCCTGGCCCTGCCCGCTTCGACGGCCGCCCCTCATCCCGTCTCTCCCACTCCAGCGGCTATGCCCAGCTCAACACCTACAGCCGGGCCCCTGCCTCTGACTACGGCCCCGAGCCCACACCCCCTGGCCCTGCGGCCCCCGCTGGTACCGACACAACCAGCCAGCTGTCCTACGAGAACTATGAGAAGTTCAACTCCCATCCCTTCCCTGGGGCAGCTGGGTACCCCACCTACCGACTGGGCTACCCCCAGGCCCCACCCTCTGGCCTGGAGCGGACCCCATATGAGGCGTATGATCCCATTGGCAAGTACGCCACGGCCACTCGATTCTCCTACACCTCCCAGCACTCGGACTACGGCCAGCGATTCCAGCAGCGCATGCAGACTCATGTGTAGGGGCCAGAGCCTGGCTGGGGCATCTCTGCGGGGCAGAGGAGAAGGCTTTCACAGCTGTTCCCTGATATTCAGGGGCGTTGCTCATTGCTCCCTTCTCGGACCAGCCTTCCTCCTCCCACCGTGGCAGGTGGGGAGCAGGTCTCCCAGAAACACCCCGTCCCGAGGATGGTGCTCTGTGCATGCCCCAGCCTCCTGGGCCTGCCCTTCCCTCTTCTTCGGGAGGATGTGTCTCTTCTGACCTGCACTCTTGCCTGACCCCTGAATGGGTACAGGGAAAGTGAAGGTTGGGGAGAGCAGAGGGGGCACTTTTTAGCATTCCCTTTCTATCCCACCCCTCTGATCTCCTGTAAGTGGAAATGGGGGTATCCAGGGGTGGGCAGACTTTGGCCTAGGGACATGAAGTATGGGAGCGGGTGGCGGCGGCACAGATGAGTGGAAACAGGAGAGGCTGGCCTGTCCCTCTGCTGTCTTACTCGTGCCCTGGGTGCATCTCTCCTTCCTCAGGATACTGCAGAAGGGAGCTTGGATTTATTTTCGCTCTTGTCTACAGAACAGCCGTAGCACTGCATTCAAATCCAGCCTTCATTCAGTTGGGATCAAAATGCCAGTCACCTTGGCTGCCCACTGTGGACATCTGTCTGTCAGCATGCAGAGGGATCCAGGAATCCCCGGCAGCACTGCCCGCTTTCCTTCTCCTATGTTGGGCCAGCCAGCTGAGTCAGGGTCCCGGTGGAGAAAGAAAGATGAGGACCACGTCCTGATGGACTAGAGACCACTGTGTGCCACACAGCAGTTTCCAGAACCAACACTAGAGGGAGCCACCCAAGCCTCTTCCCCCGCCATCTGCCCCACTTCCTGGCTTTAACGCTTGAGCTGGTTTAGGGAATGGTGAGGTAGGGATGGGGGTACTGTAGGAGGAAACGAAAAACAATGAAAACCTCATTTGGAAAGAAAAGCTGTAGGGATTCCCCCACCTAAATACAAGTCCCAGTGGAAAGAAAAGGTGGTACCTATTCTTCTCCATGGGGTTCCTAACACCTTCCATTACTCTCAGCCTCCAAGCACTTTGAATCCATTTTATACATTCAGGTTGCCAGACCTGTCACGCAGTGGGCCAGGATAGGGTTAGGAGGGGCCTGGCCCTCGGGCTCTACTCTCCTACCCTAGGGCCCATCAGTTGATTGGAGGCCACCTTCCAGAGGGTGTGAGAGAGACAGGTCTTGGTTTTTTAAGTGTCTTTTTTTTTTTTTTTCCTTGGACCAATCAGATTCCTTCTTCCACTTTCAGTGCCTTGAGTGTTAAGCTTTGGATGACCGACCCTACGTGGGCGGCTGTGCAGGGAGTGGATACTTGTGAGCCTCAGACACACTGTTAAGTGTTACGGTGTTAGGGGAGAGATGGGTGAGGGGACCTGGAGAGGTAAGGGGCCTGGAAATGTCCCTGATGGAGAACTTGTGCTGACCAGGAGAAGGTGGCGCGGAAGGGCACCAGGCATTCCACCGGCCATTTCTCCTCCATGTGCACGCACATCCAACATACACCTTCCACGTGACCGCTTCTCAGCTGCCACCTTCTGACCAAAGAGAACAGGCCCTCCAAGGAGAACCTGTACCCCTGCCCCAGCCTCACCTTCCTAGGAAGCAGTGTCTGGAGTCAGCCGTTTCCCGCCCCTCCAACTGCATGTCCAGCCCAGTGGGAGGCAGGGCCTCTGGTGCAATTCCCAAAGCATTCCTTGCCCTTTCTCCATGGTCACCATTCATAACTCATGTTCGCATTAATGGGTTACACGCTTATCAGCTACAGGCCATTACCACCCTTACGGATGAGTCTGGTGGGTGACATTCCTGGCCAGTCCCTTGCTAGTAAGGAACAGGTAGTACCCAAGAAGCAAGTCGCTCTAGCTCTAGCCTCACAGGAAGCCTCTGTATCCTCCTCCATTTCAGCAGAGAAAACTCCTGTGAAATGGGCCCTACCTTGGGCATTGACAGGCTGCCAGCTGTGTTCCACCCCTGGAGGCTGACACCTTTCAATAGAGACCTTTTATGAGAGCTCAGTGAGAAGGTCTATCAAGAAATGCAGATTCCCGTACAGACAAGTTCATGCGAATTTCTATTATTTTCACAAAACCCAGAAGCTATGGGTAACCCAAAGACTTAAAGTCTAAAGATGGTGGTGTTTTAAACATGAGTATTCCAAAAAAAATCATTTTTGGTTTGAGTTTGGCTAGATTCTCTTATATATCCATTTTTGGCTTAAGTGTTATTTTCATTCTACTGAAATGATGGAGGGACAGGCTTACGGTCACTAGGTAATTGAGCTAAAGGTGCAGGGAGAATTGTTGAGAAAGGAAGCCTAGTTTTCAGAAGCCCGACAGAGCTCCTTCACTGTTCTGTGCTCCTTAACACATCAACTGGAGCCTCTTGGGTGTCAGGCAAGCACCCTGGAAGGCACAGGGAAGTATCAGGTAGTCTCTGCCCTCTGTCACTTACATGTTGGTGGTGATCAGAATCTGAATTGGAACCTGCCTGGTGGGCCCAGTGGAATAGCTTTTCTGGGGAGTGGAAGGTATCCTTGATCACAGAGCTTTGCTGTCGAATCCTGGAGTCCTGCAACATGGTGATGCCTCAGTAGTTGCTGATGCTGATCACATCTGATGGCTTGCTTTGGTGGGAAGAGCAAGGAGACCCAGGACCCAGACCCAAAGCTGCCAAGGTTAGATCTCAGCCTAACTCTTTGTTCATTGACCCCAGTTTTTCTGGCCTGCAAAATGAGGGGGGAGGGTTGTATACATCTAAAGCTATTCTGTTTTTGCTATGCCCATTGGGTGGAGGGGTAAGGGTGGGACTGCCCATTGCTGGCAAGAAACTGGGAGCAGTAGCAAGCATGGTGAGGGCTGGGGAGCTGGTCGGGGTGGGAGTTCTCTCCTGTTCGAAGAAGCTTTCACCACGGACTTCATTATCTTGTCAGAAGTGTTGTGAATTAGTTTCCCCCAGGGACCCCTTTATCCCAAACAGCAACATAAAACACACCCTAAGCCTCAGAGTAAAATTGATTTGGGGTTATCCTTTGGCCATTGGGTCATCTGTGCTGCTCCCTACTCATTTCTGATGGGTTTGCAAAGGTGTCTTTTGCCAGGTCAGGCCACAGTGAGTTTCCTGTACTATGTGCCTAGGTTTCAGGCAGGCACTGCTTCTGTAGGGGACATGGGAGCAGCCTTCCTCCACCCCGATACTTGGCAGCATTCCTCTGGGCCAGGGTCAGCTTGTTCCTCTTACCAAACAGGTGAAGCCTGCAGTCCAAGCTGCCTGGAGCCAGAGGTCAGGGAGTAAGCACAGCTGCCCCCCTGAGGAGCAGTAGCTTGCAAGGGGAGCTGGGAGAGGAAAAGGGGCACAATGGCATTGGCATACATTCTGGATCTTGAAGGGGATCTTGTGATTTTGGCTGAGCCATGGTCGCTCCCCTCATGAAGGGCCCACCCTATATCCTAAATTCTGCATCCTTCAAAGTCCAGCCACAGAGTTTGCATGAAGCAAAAAGCCTAATAAGTGAGAAAGGAAAGAGGCCAGGGATGGGAGCAGTGCCGTGCTCTCCTAAATGAATGGAAACGTTAGTATGAGCACCCTGTCTTCAGGCAGCGTGCTCTCTCCTTATCCCAGCAGGGCGACTATCCTCTTAACTCGGAGGGGAGCTCTATCTGCTTTCAAAACGGAGCACGTTGCGCTGGAGTTTCCTGCCCTCGTGCCCTCTCGTTAACCTGTCAGGAGCCACAGTCCCAGGCTCCGTAAAACAGAATCGGTTTCTCAGTAAACTTGGCCCGTGTTCATAGTAATGTTCTGCCATTTGGGTTTGAAGAAAACCGCGTTAAAGCCGAGACCCCCTTTGGAGCGAACTGCCTTGTTCCTTGTTGCGTGGAAGGTTCTGTCCTCGCAGCTAAACTCCAGTTCCTCCCCAAGCACCCTGGCCTCAAAATCCTGGCTTCCCCACCAAGTCAGTGCTGTCTGACCTGAGCCAGGCCGCCACTTGGTGCCTCTACAGGCCACTGTGCATGTTGAGAATCACTGAAAAGGAGTAGTGAGCTCCTGACCCTGGTGAGGCCATAATGAACACTAAAGTGCAAAGACCAAGGGATGTAATTGAAAGGCAATTTATATTTTTGTGAAGACACTATAAAATTAGCATTCCCATTCCCTTGGCTGCCTCCTATCCCCGCTATGGTATTTCATCTCCTCTCCTCAAGGCCAGACTTTGTGAAAGGCGTTGGCTCACCTTTGTCGGCGTGGTGCTGGCACTTACCTCTGGGCTGGTGGAGAGGACTGAGAGATGTGAGGTTTGGTAGGTAGGGGGTGGGTGTGGGAGGTAGGGGGGAATCCCGTTTTCTTGCATCACTGTGAGGGAGCTCCAGGCCCTGTCCCTGGAGAAATACTTGCTGCGCAGAAGTCACAGGCCATACTGGGCAGTTCTGGTACAAACCTGCCCTTAAAAATAATAACAATAATAATAATAACCCCATCTGCATAGAACTATCACTCATTCCTGCCAGTCTGCTGTCCCTACCCTGGTTTTTTGCTGGCCCCAACCACTGGCCTTGTTGAGTACTGATGGGCCCTGGGCTCTTCTGTTTGCTTCTGGAGCTCTTCAGATGCTGCTCCCCTGAGAATACTCTAACTCTGCGGAGGGAGCAGCCAAATTCCCAATCCGATAGAAGTCCACACAATCTTGTTAGCAACAGTGACCCAGAAAATTTTGCTGCGTCCAGTTTCACCAGAAGAGGCCCAGGGCTCCCTGTGGTCACATTTTCTACCCAGCCATTCTTGGGATTACAACCTCCGTTTCTAGCTCCAGTTGAATTTTCTCCACCCACACCCCAGAAATAAACGGATCCATGATGATAATTAAGAGAAGAGAAAAAAAAGATATTATTTTTGTTAGGACAAACCATCGTAGATTTTTAGCAATGTGTATCTGTGTGTCCCTCACACCTTTTCCTATTCTGCCTTTTTTTTTCCTTTTTTTTAAAATATTATGTGCTATATTTTTAGTCTCAAACACACTATATATTATATATATTTAATTTTTTATATATATAAATATAAATGTTTTAAAAAGTACCATGTTTTGTGTTATTTAATGCATTAACAGGTAGTGACTTAAAAGCCTATCTGGCTTTGGGCGATAGTCCTGATTTGGGCTAAAAAACAGGTTTGGATTGAGATTGCAGAAACAATGTTTGTGTCACCTCCAGGCTGTGGTGCGCATGCTCTAGTTTGCTACTTGTGCAGAACCCCGAGGCCAGTTACGGCAGTTCAGAGACAAACAGCTGGAGGCTCCAGCGTTTGGAACACAGCATCCAAATGTTCTGTGCCAGATCCCATTATGGGAATGGGAAACGGCGAGACTTTTGAATCTGAGATGCAGATCCCAAAGGAATTGGGACAGGCAGGTGTGTGAGAACGGCTGGTTTTGTTTATTTAAAATGCTGTGGTTTGGGTAAAAAGCAAAGTTACCAGGTCTCCAACCTTTTGAACCTGTAGTGAAGCAGAATGAGAAAAACAGATGTTACAGCAATGCACACACACAGAGGCCATCCTGCTGAGAAACTCTTAATTCCGAGTTGGGTTCCCAAGGGTTTCACTTTGCTCTTTCTCAGGAGTGTTTGCAGATACCTGAAATTGCTTCCAGATAATGTTTTGTTTTATTTTGTTTTGGAGTTCTGTTTTATTGTAGAGACAGGGTCTCACTGTGCTGCCCAGGCTGGTCTCGAACTCCTGGGCTCAAGTAATCCACCCACCTCGGCCTCTGGAATCGCAGGGATTACAGGAGTGATCCACTGCGCTTGGCCCAGATAATGTTTTTTAAGCTATAAGTCATTAGAGAAGGCCGGGCGCGGTGGCTCACGCCTGTAATCCTAGCACTTTGGGAGGCCGAGCCTGGCCATCATGGTGAAACCCCATCTTAGAAAAAAAAAATCGTAGCCAGGCGCGGTGGCTCACGCCTGTAATCCCAGCACTTTGGGAGGCCGAGGCGGGTGGATCACGAGGTCAAGAGATCGAGACCATCCTGGTCAACATGGTGAAACCCCGTCTCTACTAAAAATACAAAAAATTAGCTGGGCATGGTGGCATGTGCCTGTAATCCCAACTACTCAGGAGGCTGAGGCAGAAGAATTGCCTGAACCCAGGAGGCGGAGGTTGCGGTGAGCCGAGATCGCGCCATTGCACTCCAGCCTGGGTAACAAGAGCGAAACTCCGTCTCAAAAAAAAAAAAAAAAAAAAAAAAGAAGAAGAAAAAAATCGTTAGAGAAATAGGGTTTATTGTTTTCTTCATCCAGTCACCAACCAAGCAAGCTCAAGACAGTTTACAGTAGCCTTTTTTTTTTTTTTTGTATACACGGGGCATTCAACGTAGGAAGATAGGATGTAAGAGCTGAAAAATACTTTAGAAATAATGCAGCCCACTTCAGAGGGGTAGAACTCAGAGCACTGGAGCTGCAGCTGAGGGAGGGTGCACGGCGCCATGGGGCCTGGGGTTTGCAGGCATGTAGCCAAGACCAAGAACCTATAGGTAGCCCCAGGTGAATCCAACCTGGATGGGAATGAGAGGCCAAGGTGCAGGGTAAGTTTGGAGGCTGCGGCCGGGTGCAGTGGCTCAAGCCTGTAATCCCAGCACTTTGGGAGGCCGAGGTGGGCCGATCACAAGGTCAAGAGATCGAGACCATCCTGGCTAACATGGTGAAACCCCGTCTCTACTAAAAACACAAAAATTAGCTGGGCATGGTGGCGTGTGCCTGTAGTCCCAGCTACTTGGGAAGCTGAGGCAGGAGAATTGCTTGAACCTGGGAGGCGGAGGTTGCAGTGAGCCGAGATTGTGCCACTGCAGTCCAGCCTGGCGCCTGGTGACAAAGTGAGACTCTGTCTCAAAAAAAAAAAAAAAAATTGGAGGCTGCATTGAGGTAAGTTGCACTGGCATAAGTAAAAATGGCACTGACAGAATACAGAAGCAAACAGAAAAGAGTAGGGAAAAATGAAAAAAACCAGGAAAGAAAGCAAAGCTGTGCAAACGTGCAGGCACAGGTGAATACTATTAGGCCAAGCGCTGTTGGGTGGGGCGCTTCCTGTGTTATGTGTCCGCCTGGGATACAGTTATTCATCTCTGCGTCCCCAGAGCCCAGCACGGGGCCAGCAGGTTCTTTGGGACAAGTCTGTATAGGGCACTACATA